GGGAAGGAGGGTCAGAGCCCCTGGGCCGTGGCCCGAGGGGCAGCCGGGGAAGGAGGGTCAGAGCAGCTGGGCCGTGGCCTGAGGGGCAGCCAAGGAAGGAGGCTCAGAGCAGCTGGGCCGTGGCCTGAGGGGCAGCCAGGGAAGGAGGGTCAGAGCAGCTGGGCCGTGGCCTGAGGGGCAGCCAGGGAAGGAGGCTCAGAGCAGCTGGGCCGTGGCCCCAGGGCTCGCAGCGGGGAGCGACAGGTTTACCTGGCCCCTCTCTCAGGCAGAGAACCCTGCTCAGTCTTGGCGGCTGCCTCCAAACGGCTCTGCCCCGCAGGGTGTGGCCTAGGAGGAGGGCCGGCGTGCCAGTGGTAAGGCCCTGCCCTGGGCCCCGCCATCCGCCAGGACGTGTCTTTAAAGCAAATGAGGACAGAGCTAATAGCGCCTCTAAAGTCTCTGTGCCGTCAGCCCGGGGGTGGGAGGTCCCGGCTCTGCAGAGCTCTGCCCCCGGCCGCCCGCCCTCCAGACCCAGCCGAGGACCCCGTGGACAGTGGCACAGTCCCAGAGTAGCCCGGGGAGGGGGAGCAGTGGGGTGTAGCCCTGGCTGAGGGTCCCCTGTGCAGGCGGGCTCAGGGGTGGTTTGCCTGAGACGGTGTCTCTCCCTGTCCCAGATGAAGGTCACCATGTCCAAAGGAGGCGAGCGGGACAGTGACGACGACAGCATCCTGGAAGCCGCCAGCTCCCGGCGAAGCAGCTCTCGGGACCAGCTCAGTGACGTGAGTGCCCCCCCTGCTGCTCCCAAGCTCTCCCCGTCCCGGGAGTTCCCGAGGAGGCAGTGTGTTGGCAATGAGCGTTTTGCCTTCCTTGAAGCATGATCTGCTAGTCAGGGCTGTCCCCACGAGGAGAGATTTCACTGCAGAGAAACAACTGGGGAAACACTGAGCTAGCCGACTGCCCGCGGCTGGATGAGGAGAGCGGGGTGGGCTCCACAGAGGTATCAGGAGCCCAAAGCATTCACTCAGGTTGGCAGAAGGTGCTTCCCCCACCTTGAGCAGATCCGGCCGATTCGGGTGCGCCTGGCCAGGGGAGGCCCCTGCTGACCTGAGTCCCTGAGAGGGTCCCTGGGCTCCAGGTCCCCAGGGGGGGCCAGCACAGAGTCAGGTGGGGGCCTTGGAGCCCAGCCCTGGGGGTGGCCAGGCCCCCGACACCTGGGGTCTCTCTCACCCCAGGGCACTCAGGGCCGAGGTAGATGAAGATGGGCCCGGGGGGCAGGTTTCCCACAGGGCTGACCTGCACGTGGCCTCTGTCAGCAATTAAATGGGGCCGTGGGGGGGGGACGGGAGGGGCCGCACTGCCCCTGTTGCCGCAAGATGGGAAACAGGTCTCGACCGTCAGGGGTGCAGGGAGCTCTGGTCGCATGTCCTCTAATTGCCAACCCAGCGTGAAGGCGTGTTCTGCACACAGCCAGGCAGCCATGCGGCCAAACCCCAGGGTCAGTTCTGCCCCACTGACGGCCAGGGGCTGGCAGGTGGGGCGCAGCCAGGGCCTGGACTGTGTCCCCCAGGGTCACCGAGGGGAGGCCCCCCCAGCTGGGCTCTGCCTGGCAGTGACCACCCACCAGGAGCTGGGCTGGGCCCTTGGGAGGGTCTGTCTGGGGACAGGGTGGGGTCTCCCCTATTCTGCAGAGGGGGCTGCACCCCCCCTTTGGCTGGGCACACCCTCTGCCCACCCCACACCTGCCGGCCGCTCCAGGAAGGTCCAACACAGCCCCTGCGAGCTGTGCCCACCCACGCCCAGCCCCACCTGCCGCTCTGCAGCCATACCCGGCCCTGTGCCCTGCACCCCTTCCTGTCGCAGCCTCTGCTGATGGGTGGTGGGCAGCCCTGGTGGGCAGCGCCAGCCCTGGGGAGCTCATGGGGGCCCAGGCAGTGGGGTGAGGCCAGGGAGACCCGCAGCTTCTGTCCTGATGGCCCCAAATGCCCACTCGAGCCACAGGGGCCCCACCAAGGGTATCACCGGCCCTACCCTCCTTCCCTGATGCCTGAGGCCCCCGGCCTGTTAGGCCCCCTGTGGTGACCCCTCCCCAAGGTCTCCTCCTCCAGGAAGCCTTCCCTGACCATCCCCCCTGAGGTCCTGCGGCTCTGGACCCCTCTGGGGCGGTGGGCGCAGGAAGCAGCCCCCCATGACCACAGGCTGTGGGGCACAGTGTCCGTCCTGCTCCGAAGAGCCCTCTCCAGGCGGGCCCTCCCCTCTTGGGGCAGCAAACTGGCCGAGGACAGCTGTGGGGCCTTTCCCAGGAGGACGGGCGCCCGTGGGGCCGGAGCTGGCAGGGTGTGGCGCTCACGCTGCGCGGCCCGCTGGGAGGTGTCCGGCAGCCCGTCTGGGTCGGGGCATCTGGACCGTCCGCCGACGGCTGCTCTCACGCTCAGGCAGGGTCCCGGGCCGGGCGAGGGTCCTGCGGGAGGGTGGCGTCGGGCCACTGTCGCTGACTGTGCTTCCTTCCTTCCTTCCTTCCTTCCTTCCCGCAGAGCTCGGCGCAGGCGGTCTCGGGCAGAGGCTACTCCGTAAGTCCCCGGCCCCTCTCCCGCCCGCCGCGAGGGTCCCCCCAGAGTGTGCCCCATGCACCCCGCTCCCTGTCAGGGCCCCGTGGAGTCCCGAGGCTGTGGAGTCCCCGCAGGAGCAGCCCTGCCCGCCTCTCAACTTCCTCTCGCTCCTCCCAAGCGTCAAGAGGAGTGTTAATGACGCTATAAAACCCGGAGCTCCGTGCAGCCCTCTCTGGAGATTTACTGCCCCCTCACAGGGCTGGGGCTCCGCCCCCCTCGTCTGGGCAGCCCCGGATGAGCTGGGGCTGCAGGAAGGGGGGCGTCCTTGCTAAATCACTGCATGTTTTATAGGGCGTGTGATTAACCCATTAACCACCTGCCGCACGCAGCCCAGCCCCCTCCAGCCTGTGGCTCCTGCTGGTGGCTGGGGGTGGACCCCAAGCCCCCGGCCCCTGGGGAGTCTGGGACAGTGTCACCCGCGTGCTTGGCACAGGTGCAGGGGCTCTGCTGGGCCCCCTCCCCCCCGACACCCTGTTTGAGCCCCGAGACCCTGGGCTCTGCCTCAGCCTCCAGCCCTGGTTTGGCCACAGTGTCCCCGAGTCCTGCCCTGGGGTGGCCAGTGGAACACACTTTGGGAAGACGTCTCTCTGGCGGCCACCTGAGGGTGCTCTGCCTGGGCAGGTGTCGCAGCCTCCCGTAGCGTGTGGCCTTGGGCAGCCAAGTTGTCCTCTGTGCGCTGGGACACACCCCTGACGTGACAGTGTGACCTCGAGTGGCGGCCCCTCCACGCGGTGTCCTGGGCAGGCAGCAGCCAGCGGGGCCTGGCGCGCCGAGCAAGGCTCCTGCCGTGTGGCGTGTCCAAGTGGGGACAGGTCGTCACCGTGGGACACCTGGGCAGGGTGCACCACCCTGGCCCACCTCCGCACCCCAGGTCCCAGGGCAGGTGGGGCCTGCGGCAGGAGGGGGAGGTTCCTGCCCCGTGTGGATTCATTTGGGGTGTGGGCGGGGGTCCTGCTGGTTCCCCAGGGGTCGGGTGCAGTGTGCCCGTGTCCCAGAGTGGCCAGCGTGGCCGCACCAGGGATGTTCCATAGGCTCCCTGGGTCCGGGCCCCCGGGGCCTGGGGTCTCCCTCCCTGAGCACCGGCACCCGCCTGCTCCCGCCCTTCGCCAGCTGGGTCTCCCCCCAGGCGGCTGTGAATGTTTCCTGAAAACTGTAATTAACGTGCGCCCTGCAGGCAGCTTAGCCCCGCCCTGTGGCCACCGCACAGAAGTGACAGATGGCGCCGGGTGGGGAGGGCTCCCCTCTGCGGCCTGAGGCCTACAGATGGTCCTGTGTGCGCCTCACGTCCCGGCACGGGCAGACGCGTGTGTCAGAACTGGCGTGTACAGACAGTCACCCCTGGCCCTGGTGGCCCTCAGACCCCCAGGCTGTCACGCCCTGTGGGCCTCTTGTCCAGCTGGTGTGTGGGTGGCAGATGGGAGCCCAGGCTCCTGGCAGACAGCAGGGGGCAGTGTCCCCCTCTCAGAGGGGTTGTCCTCCGAGAGTGTCCCAGGCTGGAGGCCAGGTCAGGGCTGCGCTGCCCCCGGGCTGGGAGCAGGGACTGGCCAAGGTGACCTGTGCCCAGCAGGAGGGGCAGGACCTAGGCGAGGGCCAGGATTAGGGCGGCTGCCCTCTCATCTCCAGATTGGGACTTCCATGTGGGCCCTCAGACACGCGTGTGCATGGTCTGGTTGGGATGCCATGTGTGTGCCCTTGTATGTGCGTGTCTTTGGGTGGGGCTGTGTGTGCCTTGGCTAGAGGTCTCATGGGGATCTCTCTGGGTCTCTGTGTTTGCGTGTGTCTCTCCCTGTGTCCTGTATGTGTGGGTGTCTGTGTGTGGGTGCGTGTGCTGCAGGCGTGCCCCTCCGTCTTCCCAGGACACCCTGGATGCCCACTGCATGCGTGAGTGGTTGTGGCCTCAGACCCAACACGCCAAGGCCGCAGCCACGCACAGGCCCTGCCTCTCCCGACAGCCTCCCTGCTGTGACACGGGGGTTTGTCACCTGACCCCGTTTTACTAGGAGTGGTTTGATTTTGCCAATATTCATCTCCAGCGAACCCCCGTTACTGCCCGTCCTCAACAGCTTCTGTCCCGGAAGCCGCGTGTGGCGCTCGCCGTCAGATGTTCGTGAGCGCCGTGCGATCAGAAAGTAATGCCCTGATCTGGCTGCTTGCAGCCGGAACGGGAGGATCCTGCCCGTCTCTGGCGTAGCAGGGGCTGCGGGTTTCCTTCATTAAAGAGAGATGAGAATCTGTAAGCGCCTGCTGGGCCGCAGCTGCCCGCCCCAGGCCCCGCGTGCGGAATGTTCTGGAAGGGCCCGGCCCGCAAGTGAGGCAGGTAGCGTGCTGCTGACGTGGCCGGCCGTGGGGCGGGTGTCTGATCACCTGCGTCATCGGGACTCCCAGGTGCGCACCGCGTGTGTGAGCCGTGCCCGGGTCCGTGTGCCGCTGTGACTGCGCAGACGGGGACACTGAGGCACGGGCACCCAGCCTTCGTGAGGAGACCCCGGGAGCCCTGCCTGGACGGCCCTCCTCCGCCCACAGGGCCACCTGGCCGATCCTCCCGCGGGTGGAGGGCGCGAGAAGCCCTTCACTGCCGCCGTCCCTCCTCCGCAACCAGTCAGTGCGCGGCGTCCGCTACGCCCAGTCAGCAGACAGGATGTGCGCATGCGGGCTCAGAGTCCCACCACGGAGGCGGGAAATGAAGCTGATGAGCAGCTGCCTTGGCCCAAGGCGCTAAGTGCCGTGGAGGGAAGGGGCAGGGCCAGGGTGCACGCGGGGGTGGGGGCAGTGAGGCCGCAGAGGCACAGCTGCAGCAGGTGCAAAGGCCCTGAGATGGGCATGCAGCCTGCGCCCCAGGAATGGCAGGGAGGGGCGGGGCCCGGGAGCGAGAGACAAGGAGTGGGGCCAGGGGAGGGACAAGAGGTGGAGCCAGAGGGGGCGGGGCCAGGGAGGGACAAGAGGTAGGGGCGGGGCTGGGGAGGGCCCTGGCAGTGCGGGGAGGAGTCAGCGCCGCCCCGCGGGAGGCGAGAGTGTGTCTGGGGAGGGTGGGGTGCAGACAGAGGTGGAGGACTCAGGAGCCCACTTGGCTGGTCCGGATCGGGCCGGGACCGTCCGCTGTGCCTGCTGGGGGGTGGGGGACGCCTCCACTTGGGGTGTGATTAGCTCATTGGCTTCATGACTTCTGCAGGATTTCTGAAAATTAGTCCTAAATTGGGGGTTGGGGTGCAAACCACTGATGCCCCCAGGAGCCTCCCTGAGCTGATGGCGCTGTCGAGAGGGCCCAGAGCTCGGGCTGCGCCTCCCCGCTTGCTGCCGTGCCCCCACGGCGACGGCGCTGGCGCGTGACCCTTCGGTTCCCAGGGAGGCCTGGAGGGCGCCGGGGCGGAGCTCTCTTCACCAGCCCGCAAAGTAACGACCTGGTATCTGGCAGCCAGGATGACACGCCCTGCATGGGAAGCCCCACCGGCGTGTCGGTCCACGTGGCTGCATGACCCGTCGCCCCAGAACTCAGTGGCGTGTCCCGGAGCTTTCGCCATGTGCACGGTCTGCGGGTCCGGAACTCAGACAGGGCCCCGCGGCCACTCGCGCCCCGGACGTCAGCGCCCCACAGAGACTCCGTCTAGTGCTCCATTCCGGCTCACGGCTGAGCCCCGTTTCCCGGGTTGGGCGTCCTCACAGCGGGGCAGCCAGCTGGCGGGCGCGGAGGGGCAGCGCCTGGGGGGCTCCCATGCTCGGCTCCCCCCCAGCACCCACTGCCACTGCCCACCAGACTCTCGGGGAGGGCTGATGACCCCCCTTGGTGGGGGCTGGGTCCCCCAGAGACACCTCCAACCTGCCTCGCCTCTCAGACACGCATGCACAGCCCAGCCTGCACATGTGTAAGACGGCTGACGTCCACGTTGCACACGTGTGCCGTGGACCAGGCCCTGTGGCTCGGGGGTGCATCCGGGGAGGGGACAGGCTGGCCGGAGCCGTGGGGGGGTCCCCGAAGGACCTGGAGCTGGCCATGGCGAGGCCCTCAGCCCCTCCCGATACTCTTGAATCAAGGCCCTCGATTCAAACGAGGGGGTCTTGTGCGCGTGACTCAGGGCTCTGTGTCACCGTCCTGGCATGTGGCTGCCTTGCCGCCATGGCAACATCCCAGGCACCCCTGGGGCCTGGGCCGTGATGCAGTGGGAAGGCAGTCAGAGACCCTCGGGGTCTCTGGGCAGGAGGGCAGGAGGGCGCAGTCCTGACGCCCCAGCTCCTCGGATCCCCGGGGCGCGGCAGGAGGGAGGAGGGCTGGGGGGCTGCAGCTTGCAGAGGTGGTGACTCCCCCCAGCCCCATGCCCACCCCATGTGGCTCAGGGCCGGGGATGCCACACTCTCGATGGCTGGAGTGGAAGTGCCACACGGCACGCAGGGACACAGGGACCTTTGGGGGTGCTCTGGGGTCCTTGCTCCCGCTGTGGGACTGCCTGGCTCCTGGGCACGGTGCTCTGCGGGGGCTGCGCCTCCCGTGCGGGCAGCCGTCCCTGCGTGGCCTGTCGCGTGGCTGGCGGCTGGGACCTGTGGAAGAGGCTCCCCACCTTTCCCACCTGGAGTTTCCTCCCTGCTCCTGGGGCAGGTGTCTGAGGCCTCCGCTTGCAAACGGGCGTCCAGCAGTGTGGGGGGAGGGGGCGGGAAGCCCCTCCCAGGGACGTCCTGGGCACGTGTGGGTCACCAGTCGGGCTCTGAGGGAGGTGATGTCACCGCTGTTTGCGGCCACGTGTTCTTGACACTTGAGGCCACCTGGAGGGGGTGGATCGAGAGGCCACATGGGCTGGCCGTGCTCAGGGGCCTCCAGCCTCTGGGGGACGCACAGCGCTCGGGCTTCCTGGCTGAGCCCCAGGAGTCGGGGACGAGAGGGCCAGGGACACGTTGGCTGAGCACGAGGCACATGCAGGGCGCAGCCATCGGGCCACAGAGCTGTGGCTGTGGCCGTGGCCTTGGTGCTCAAC